CCACAGCAACACAGACTAACAAATGCAACAACCGCCAGCGCATAAACTTGTGTTTAGTCGAAAATGCATTTGTTTGCTCGTCGATTCACCAGTTGACATCTGTGTTTATTTATTTCTTCTGAGCTCCGGGGAGCAACCGTTTCCCATTTGAGCTTAGCTGAGCTATGGCGACCGGAAAAAAATTTAAAATGCAATTGAACTTTGACAGTTTCCAGGAGAATTCAATTACTTTATGCCACGTGCCACTCGAGAGCGGGCGACCGCACTAAACTTTCCACAGTTCGTGTGCGTGCTGGGCCAAAAATGAATGATGGCCTTGTGGCAACTCCCAAAGATCATATGCAGCTGCAAGTAAACTTTTAGTCAGCTTAACTGCTGCGACTTAATGATTTTGAGGCTGAAACTGAGACAAATTTAAGTTGGCCGAAGCAGGCGAAGCAGCTGCAAAAGAGCAAGAAATTTATTATGGGAAGAGTTGGATGGATGCGCATTTCCTTATCTTTTAGGGGCATACCAAATGAATATAATTTAAGAAGCCATTGCATTCACTTTGATCGCACGAAATAAAAAAACACGGCATTTGAGTTTTAAAAGGGAGAAAGTCAGTCACAAGTGAAGTGTTAGGAAGGTGGAAGGTTTCATCACTAACATATCATTTAAGTTGGAGTCATTATTCCCATATTTAGATGCTTATAATGATGTATGCCTTAGAAGAATTCTGTTAAAATCAAGCTACATTACTCAATTTTTAACCAACTAACTTTTATATCGATTTAAGAAATATATTTTTAAGAAACGTGTTTAAAAGTCAACACAAAACATATAATTTTCTTGACTTTTGCCGGGCATGATTCCAGCTCGGAAGTTGTTTACGTGTTTGGCATCGTCAAACACGCTAGAAAATCCTTTAGCTAAGTAAAGACGGAAGGGAGTAGTTGTTGTAAGCTTCCCAAAGAGAAAACCAAGCCTTGCATTCAGGCAACCTATTTACTCTACAATACTTAACTATGTATCCTCATTTTCTGGTCGAGTAAAGTTTAGTGCTCCAGAAAACTGTTAAAATTGTCTGGCAGCAACTAAGAAGGTGATGAAAATAGCGGCTGGCGCGTTCATGAGAAGATGAAAAAAGCATAAGACTTGAGTTCAATAGCTTAACTCAAGTTGGGTGCAAGAAGAGCCTGCCTTAATTGCAGTTGGCAAATACGGGCCAATTGTTTTCGTTCAAAAGTTTATTTGAAACCTTTTTTATCGTTAGCGTTAGCGTTAGGTATGGGCTATGTTGTTGGAAGTTTTTACCATTCTTTGCAATAGATAAGAGAGTATTATCTTAAAGCAACAATCTGACTCGCAACAGTCTTGCTTTGACTGTTGGCCAATGCGAGTCAAGAACTAGAGACTAGGTTCGCTTTAATTAGAAAACCTAATTTAAATTTCTCATGAATTTGTCAAAGGGATGGCAAATATTTACGAAGTGAAATGCTACTTTATATTAAAATTTAAATCAGGATTATGCTGAACCTGATGGGAAAATCAAAATCAGCAGCAAGGCAATGGATACGCTCAATGTTGAAGTCAACCCCAGGCTGTTGGCCAAGTCAAAGTTGGGCACTTTACGTGACTTTCTTAAGATAAACAATTTGCCTGTTTGTCCTTCTGGAATTCAAGTATGGCAGGAGAGAACATGACATATCCTTGTCTTGTTTATGCCACAGCTCACAGACACGACAGGATGTCCGTTGATGGCTTGGACACAGGCTGAATGAAATGTACCAAGGACAGAGAGACCATTGACGGCTGTCGGCCAAATGTTTGTGAGATCATAACAAGCTGATAAACTTTGTCAGTGGTATATGACATATACTTGAACAGGCTGCATTTAACGCCCCCGTTAAACGTCCGAATAAAACTAAGTTGTTTTAGTCACAGTTTGCCATCGACAAAGTTCTTCAATGCTCTTTGGGGCACTTCCGTGACAGCCAGTATCGGCACAAACTTAACTATGATGTACACTGAAAAAACAGAAGGGTAATCACTTACAAATTCAAATCACAAGGCTTTTTAAAATGGAATTGATATTCATCTCACTACTGTGACTTTAAATTTCAGGTTCTTATGTATTATTTCCATCTAAAGTAATTCATATCCTTATTGATGCGGACCCTAAAAAGGGTGTTTGAAATAGTTTAAATAAATCAATTTAAAAAAAAGTTTATACTCCTAGATATCTTCCTTATCTGTTGTTGAAATATTTGAATATGGAAATTGACCTAGTTTGTAAAAAGACAATTTCCATTCAACAAAACTTTCTGATAAGATGCGATCACTCCAGTTGGGTGCAACTCTTCAATACATTTTATTGCTTTCTTTTTAGCTGATATATGTACATATATAAATATGTAGGGATACTTGTTCCAGCTATAGCAGATAATACCACTCACCGCAACATAACTAGGAACAGCATTTGATAAATTCTTGTAAATTCTTTGGTTCTTACAAGACTAAAGCACACCGTGGCGCAATAATCATACGACTTTAAAAATCGTGTAGTAAAACGCTTTTTGTGTGTCTGCAATTGCATAACGTATCCAGTTGAGATACATTTGATATGCATGCAACTGTCTGACTGGGATGAATTTAAAAGCAATCAAAAGTTGAGTAAAAGGAAATAAAGTGCGCAACGTAAAATGCAGGCAACTCCAGGACGAGCGTATCTTATGATTGCCAGATACTCGATGTCTGTAAAGCGCGCAAAAAGGCCACAATAAGGATGCATAAGGAAAAATTGCATACAGGATAAAGCAAGGAGAAGGCAACTGCAGCAAATAAGCTGAACAACGAACCTCTGCATCTGTATGACAGCCAATACATAGCCATGAAAAGAAAAACCAACAAGCCCAAACATTTAGTGGCAACGAAAACCAATTCAAACGCAACCAGAATGGGTAAGCGATGGCGCTCTGTGAGGGCAATGGGTCCGCTGGCATCACTCTGGAAACCGCAGTTTAATTGACATTTGATAAACGCACAGCTCAGCGCGCGGCTGTCCAATTCTCCAGTCAGCCAGACAATGGGGCAGCGACGAACGTTAATCACATCAACTGCGGAGACAACGAGAAGCTCACGGATTGTGAGATAGATAAATTGAATGCGTAACTCAGGCTGATTCGCTTGCGGGTGGGCAACACTCATGTAATCGCCAGACTATCCCCAACCTCACGGACAGTGTCAAATTTTAATGAGTTTAATGGTCTGGCAGTATAATGCAATAAAGTCAACGAATTGACATTTTAATGGAGGCAAATGTCTTTTTAATGACATTAACACCACTTGGTTGTTTAACATTGTAAATAACAAAACACGCATATATGAAATTTTATATAGTCAACGACAACTAGTATTGAATCATAGCCAAGGTTAGGTTGACGGATCATAGTAATAATCTATGCGTTGGCTTAAGGTGAAACTGATATTCATTCTTTTAGTTCAAAGTTTCTGTTTTGATTTAAATATAATAATCAATAATTTATATTCATCAAAACACGAACATTTCTTATATACAAAGTATTAAAAATATGTAAAAAGCTAAAAACTTTAATATTCTAACATTCATTTTAATACCAATTTAATTTAAGTACCAATGAAAGTAATCTTATTTCGGCTGACAAACAAATTTAAAGTTATAGTCGTTTTTCATAAAAAATGTATTTATTTAATAAACCGGAAATGAAACGTTTCATTTACTTGGCTGCCAGTGTAAAACAAGTAAACTCCCCCCATATTAATTGCCTATTCAACAGTTGCTGGCTTGTTGGCTCGAGGAAGACATGGCAAGTGAACTGTGCAACATATACTGGTAAGCCGAACATATTTGGAGACAAGTATTTATACAAATTGGCATGCAAATGCCACATGCTGCACACGAAAAAAAAAGGAAGTCGATATTCGCAAAAAGGGGAAACGGAAGCTTACCCAAACATGCAACAAAGCAGAACCTCGAAATATTTATTGGAAAAAAAAACATTGTATATGACAGTTGCACTTATACGTCAGATTGATTCTTCAAATTTGCTCAAGCGAAGATGAAAAAGTAGCAGATGATTTGGTTAACATCTGGTGTACATTTGTGTCTGCTCTGGTTAGCTTCGGGCAACTTTGCAACTCTTGTTGAATTTGTATTACATTATCGCTGCACGAATGCACTTCAATGAGGTACATTAACTTACCGTAGATCGAAACATATAAAATATATAATTTTATCGTCAATTTGTTTAAACAACAATATCCTTTCAGCTAGTTTATTGTTTTTTGTTGATATTACGCTGTTTGGGTTTATATATACGACTTTTCGTATAAACCTAAAATTCTAGTAATTTGTAAAATATGTTCCTTTTCGAATTTTAAACAATTTGTAGTCTAGTCTTCAAATGATCATCAATGTGAATTAAGCATAGATATTGGCAGATATCTCTTTAAAAAATTGTCATTAAAGCTTTGTAGTAAAGATCATACTTATTAGAAAATAAATATCTGTCAGTTGACATCTATTAAAACTGTTCTCGTCTTCGTCAGTAAATAATCATAATCACCACCTTAGATTAATAATTAAAGCGCGTGGGAAAATCACTAATTTTGATGTCTGTGGCCTACTTTTTCCTTGACACTATTAATTTTATTTCATGGCTTGAAGCTATTTAATTTAATTAACACGCTCTTTGTTTTGGCCAAATAAAGGACCACAATCGGTACAAAGGCAACAATGGCAAAAGCCAAGCTGAACAAAGGCAGTGCGAAAACTTGAATGAGTAAATGCTTAAAGAAAGCGTATCTAACGACTAACTAAAGACAATAAAATAATATTTTATGATTGTTTTATACTATGCTGGGCGCAAGGACATTAGGCAGTCATTAAGTTGGCAAAAGTTTTCATTTGTTTTTCCCGGCACCGGAAAAACAGTTAATGAAAGAAAGTTGTCCACATAAATAATAATTGTGAAAGTGTCGTTGGCTTTGCACTTGCTGCGTTATATTTGGGGGTCCTTAGAACTTGTCGCAGTTACGAGTATAAATTTTTAAACGTACATTTCCAGACGCTACGCAGACAAATGGAAAAATTCCTTTTTCCCACTCAATTAGGGGCATCTGAGGGCATTGCCATCATTTTTATGGGGCGTCGTAAGAAGAACTTTGGCTTTCATCATTGGCGCAATTTTGTGGCACATTTGCTGTGTCTTTCTGCTGCTTTTTGCCAGTCCAAAGAAAATAATAAAAAAATAAATGTAAAACTTTTTGTTGCTTTTCACTTATTTATACTTTACTCATATACATATGCATGCTTATATATAATTCAACAATTTGCAGAGGACAGCTTGCCTTCAGCCGAAAAATTATCCCTTTGCGTTTCATGCACGGGGAATATTTGGGTGAATTTTATTTTATGAGCGTTGCCTGGAAAGGAAAATTATTTTTGGGCTGCTTAAGTGTTCATGTTTGAGTAAAATGTTGCTTTAATTTACATAAATTAAAATTAAATTTGTTACTAATTGCTTGCCCGGAAAATGCTAAACGAATTTCCAGAAATGTTTATTTGTTCGATAACAGTTGTGAATACCACATAACTTATGTTAAGCAAGTATGTATAATCTGGTGAGTTCTCGACTAATTGAACCTACATTACTATTACGCAATATGTAATTATTATTAATAATACCTCTAGCCGTAATTCCACCCGAGATGTAGGTAGATGTCATGTGAAATATTTAATATATATTTTGCAATAAACTGTATGCATATATAACAATTTTATTTAAATTCCATTTGTAAATAGAAAATGATTATAATTGTAAGATCAATCACTGTGCATAATTGGCTTAAGCCTCAATACGAGTTGAAAGTCAACTCTTGTGTAATTTTAAGCATTGATTAATTACATGTTAACATGCCAGCAAATTTAATTACGATTTGCATCGAGATTTATGCAAAAATGTTTGCCAAATAAATGAAGAAATGAATTCTCTTCAAAGTTTCGAAGATATGATACCCTTGCGGATATTTAAGCAGAGGAGTTTTTATGCTAGGCAAATGAAGAGACAGCGGAATTTTCTCATTAACTTTGTGATTTTCGTAAACGAATTCTATTTATATCATATTGTAAAAAGTCGATAAATAAACTTGCTAAATAAAAACTTTGATCATTCGATGTATTGCAAATTTTGCGACTAAATTATGATACCCTGTGGAAGGGTGTAATGATAAGGGTTACTATACGCGCCAAAATAATAAATTGACGTGATTTTAATTAAAACTTTCAATCAGTACGGACTGGAAGTTCTGTAAGGGCATTGATTGATATTTATTTTGGGTATGTGTCTCGCTGATGTCACACAAATAAAGGACAACAAAGGCAAAACGTAAATGCAATTTGATGGCCAGCATGAAGAGCAGTCAACCAAGTAAGTTACATTGCCTGTTGATACTTAATTAAGGGTCAGAGATTTTAAAAGTGACGTCTGCTGGTCTGTGTCAGATAGTTGCAGACTTTTGACCAGGCCAGACCATAACTGCAGAAAATCAATATCAATTTGAGAATCATGTATGAAGTAACTGTAATATACGCATTGGTCTGGCCTTTAGTTTTTGGTCATTATTGAGCCCTCTCTTGAATTGTCTGCCAAAAGCTCACATTTTCATTGAAAGTCTCTGTCATAGACCGATTGCCAACAAAATATCACAGATGTTTCAGAAGTTCTCGCTTTTCTTCTATTTGTTAGTTTTTCCTATGATTTAAAAGCCTGTGGCAAGTCGTGCAATGAATGTTGTCCAAATAAAAGCAATTTAGCATGAAATGCAAGAATATTATTGAATTATTTTTATTGGGAGAGCACTGCTTTCCTTTATACTTGAAGATGTTATTTACAAATAATTCTGCTGCAAGCTAAAATTCTGAAAGTTCTAAATAATGTGCCGACAAAAACTGCACACTAATCTTGCAAAAGCCGAATATCAAAAGAAAATTTCTAATTAAAATTTCTAAAATATACTATTACAAGTTTTAAAGACTCGAGCTCCACAAATAATTATCGCTCATCTGCTTTTAGTTTAAACAGATTGATTGGAGTAATCAACGCATCATCAAAATTGCTTCCACCACTCCTTTGATAAATAAATATAAGAAAATCCATTAGGAAATGATGACGAAAATCTTTCATACAGCTGAGTAAATACTTGTAATATGAGGCTGGCTCTCAGTAAGCCCACAGCTTACAGAATTCATCACAATGAAATCAGCTAAAATAAACGGCAAAAAGGCCAAGTGAAAATGCTTTGTAAATGGCCAGTTGGCCAACACTAAGCAATTGCACAAAAAGGCTCTAACACAAAGGCTAACTGAAATTGCTGCGGCTAATAACATTATTTAATGGAAAAGTGGTCCATTCCCCATTTTCCCCAACTCACACTGTTTCCCAACCATTCTCGCTCGCACAGCCTTAGAAACCAATTTACTTGTGCGTGGAGCAAGCAAATAAAGAAGTTGGGCTTAAACCCAAATCAATTGTACTACAGAAAAAAGAATGAAATGAGGAATAAGAAATTGTTGACCATCCAAGCAAAACGTGAGCTTAACAACATGTTATTTCTTATCGGTTACTTTAATATGATTTTAATTAGAATTAAAAACTTTTTTCATTTCCTTTTACTGGCAGTGATCAAAATCAACCATCAATTGGAAGTACATCTAAGGCTGCCTTTTTAAAAGAAAAACAGCCTTAAAGGTTGCTTACGTGCCTTATACTAATTTCAAGGTAAGCTTGTTTAGATCATATTCAACAATACTATAAAAAATTCGACACCCAGTCATTCATAGCTAGTTACAGGCTATCTCTTAGTCAGGCTCTCCCGACTAGACAACTTATAAGTACAGGGTGTAAAAATACGTATTGTTTTTACAGACAAAAAATAGCACCTGTCAATCTCTTTTTATGCTGATTTTTTACATTTTCCCTGCAGTTGAAGGTTTATTTAAAAGTTTTCTCTTATGCAATAGCACACACTGATGCACACAAAGATACACAATAAAATGAATCTTGTTTCCAGAGGCGGACGTAGAGCGCTCAACTGTATTTTCAATTATTAATTGTCCAGTAACTGAAAAGTTTGTTAATTAATGTTAAGGAGAATGCATATACAGAAATGTTTCAAGTTCTTAATACAATGTTGTTTTACACTTTATATATTTATAATGTACATATCCATTAAAATTAAATTAATATATAGTTTAACAGAATATATTTCATGCAGAATACAAATCAGATTCCTCATATATAATATAAACTTAAACAGAGGTAAGCAATCAAAATGAAATTAACATTCTCGAAAGCATAAATGCCTCCATTAATAAATAAATCTGTCTTGAATGTCAAATATGCGAAACTATCAAATGTGAACAGAAGTCCATTGAAACTTTCTAAAACAACACACATTTATCGATGCGATACTATGAATTTGGGGGCGCAAAAGATCGTTAAAGTACATCAACGGATTGTCAGGCTATGCTCAACTGGGAAGCTGATTTTTATGGCTGGCTGTTAAACTAAAACAAGAATTTGAGTTAAGCGCGTGAATAAAAGATTATATTCAGTTTATTGACTTAGCCACCGATTAACCATTATATGAATTGAGCAAGCGGAATCTTGTGATTTATGACTTCATTTTAGTCATATAATAGATTGTATCTATCTATTTACATAAATGACTAAAACCCTCAAGAAATTATTAATTGATAGTTGAACTATTGATAAATTTTATTAGTTAGTTTAACTTATAAAAAAAGTATGCATATATATTCTTGACAATTTATGTGCGTGACAGGTGACAGGTATTAAAGCGAAATAATGGGCTCATAATATGTAACAAGAGCTAATCAACAAATAGCACGGAATTCCAAGCCTGGTTGCCATCAAGTGAAGTGCATTTAAGGGCTGTAAAAGGCAAGGCAGCAAATTGTCATTATTAAAGTAAGGCAAGGCTTCGACAGGAGCTGTGAAATGTTGAGTGAAAAGCTTTCACCAGGCGAATGGCAAAAGTTTTCGGCCACAGCTGGGGCCTTTTTGTGTGGTGTTTTTTTTTTTGCTCTGCAAGCCAGTTGTAAAATTTTCTTTATCAGCCGCTGTACTCCTCTTTTGTAGTCTCTTAACTTTTATAACAAGGCAAGTGAGCACTCTTCTTCATTGGTGATGAAATAGTTAATATCCTATAACCAACCTAATTTACCCTATTGCTATATGTTTCAGTTTGTCACAGTTTATAGAACCTTTCTTTGTTTTTATTTTTTTATTGTGATTTATTGATTACCATTTGCCAGACATCTGTAGTATTGTGTGACATTTTAAGGACTTGAAATATACCTCCTATTGCAAACTTATAATGAATGGTAGAGAATTTAGAGTATATTCATTCAAAGTACACTCGGAAAGCAAAGCAGTGCCTTGACATACCTTCAGTATTTTGCATCAACATGTCGTCATTCTTTTGATGGGTCTATTTGTATTTGGTTGCACATTGCGAATACTTAATTAAATTCGCATTTCGCATGGAAAATTTATTATCTTGCTGTCTGCCATCTGCACATCAACATATCTGTCTTTTTTTAACACCTTCGGCCACGCATTAATTAAGATAAGCATAATTCCACTTCACTTGAAAAGCTTCAGCTTGTATCTATATATGCGGCCGAGCTACACCACAGTGTTTACTGATTTTAATCTTAAGTGCGAACTCATTTTCCAATTCACACTTGAGAGCCTGCTATGCACACAAGCACACAAACACACACATGTACACATACATTACTAAGTACTGTGTAGCTGACTTGTAAAAGCAACGACAACATTTAAAGTACAACAATAACTAAAACAAATGTTGCGCTGTTTGCCAAGACATCGTGCTGGGGAGGAAATGAAAGGGTGTTAAAGCTGAATGCGTGACATTAACTGGCTCTTAAATGCTGTCTAGACCAGAGCCTTCGGGCAAGATCGAGAAAAGAAACGAGGACACGCACTTTGCATAAAAGTGCATGCAGAAATTTAAATGCGCCTTTTTGTCCTTTTGCAGGCCAATGCTTTAGTCAAATCAATTAAAAATTAATTAGGTTCATGTACAGCAAAAAAAAAGGACAGATACTGCAGCATACATATATACAAAGTCAATTAAATATGAAAATTCCGACAACTGGAAGAAAACTTTTAGAGAACAGGACATGCAGACTAAGCAGCTCATTGGAATACCTGGAAAACTGCTCATTAATTATTTACAAGCCATTTTGTAAGTTGATTGTTCGCAGGGCTTGCATTTTTTTGGTAGCTTTAATATTTAATTAAATTTAATTAACCCAGATTACGCAAGCTTCGAAAATTGAATTGTAATGAACATAAAGTGACCCACAGAAAACATTTTATGACAGGTAAAAAAAGTTTTTGAATGCTAGACGAGGATAAAATTCAATTTAGCAAATAAATTAAATGGCAACAATTACTTCATAAAAAAACCAAAATAAAAAACCAAATAATTTACTTCGAAAAAAAAATAATAATTATAAATAAACTATAACGCGAGCATTTTAATTTTATTCATTCCCTAATTGTTTGTATCAAAGCCGGAAATCAAATATATACAACTACAATGGAATAAGTAAAACCATCAATCAGGCTAAATGAAGCCATTGGCCAGGTGAATGCTGCCTTCAAACTTATTTAATTTAGAGAATATTTGTTTGAAGAACTCTGCTTGTTGGTTGCAATGTGGAAAATAAATAGTTAAAAGTTGGCAAACAGGTGCACAAAATGAGCTTCTTTTTAATTGCTCTGGGCAAATGTTGAGTGAAACAAAAATAAGAGAAAACCCGGAAAGTAAGGAATGAAATTAAGGTAGATGTTTGCCCAAGGACTCGACAAGAAAATGTGCCACCAGCACACACATCCACTAACTATATCAGCCAAATATAAAAACCTTTTATTTTTTTTCAACCTTGCCATAAAAAATAATTTGATTATTCACATTGTGCAAAATAAAGCGTAAAAATATATACAGTTAAAAAATTATATACATATATAGTACATGCAGATGAAATGCGCAAAAAACTGGCGAGTCTCTGGTTGAATTTTCCATTTACACATACAAACGCCCCCCTTAAAACAACTTAAAAATGCATTAAACACAAATTGCTGTGTGCCATATTTATAGTAGCGACAGTCGTGAGAGATCTCATAAAACTATTTTTTACTAGTGTGGTGGCAAGTTAAATTGTGTTTTCATACGGGAGCCTGCAGTATGAAAGGCACTTCCTTTCGGTTTATATACTTTTCGGGGCAGTAATTTATATTTTAAACAATTAAATTAAATATAAGCTGCTTTTCCATAATGGTTGCTATATTTTAGATGACATGTATATAAAATTTACGGTGAGATTTGCGTATTTAACCAGCAGAGTTCGCTTTCCGAGTAGCCAGGTGCTCACTCCTGCTAGAATGAACAACAAAGATCTCTGCTCGATCCTTTTTAGCTCAAATTCTGAGTAAGCAATTGAATTAATTGTGCTTATAGATAGATATTTTGTATTCTACACTTGTCTGAAACATTTTGACGAGACTTACGAAATGCAATTTCATTTTGAATGCACCCGTTTTCGTGGTCTAATAAAGTTGCCAACTTGACTGCTAAGCCGAGCACGTTGCAAGTATTTGAGTCAGCGCAGAAATCTTCTTTGAATCTGTGCACTCATAAAACTTAAGAAAAGTTGAGATAAAGTGGTCAACTTTGAGTTTTTATGTTGGCATTAAAGACCGCAACTTATACAGCTTCTGACTGAACTGAAATACGATATTTTATGTACTTCAACTACAAGCCCATATATACCATGTGCCTGAGTAATTCAATTGAGTACTCAAGCATTTGCAGTGCCTTGGTGCGTAAAGATCTTCTGGGCAAGCAATGGCAACTGGCATCCACCCGCTAGTTGTCAGTCGTCTTTCGACTTCGCTTTTAGTGTCAGTCATGGTGGATTACGCCATTGAAATTGGATTAGACACGGAGCCAAGTGTGTTCAAATATTCGCATTTGCATATGTAAATACGTAAACTCGCTATCTGAGCGCCTGCAGCCGAACCGAGCCGAGTGATGTGTGAGGATTACACATGAGCAGCCTTAACAGATTACTGCAATTTAGGTAAATAAACGAGTCTACAACTTTAGCGAAGCAGTATAGAATAAAAGTTTTAAGGTGCAGCAACAAGAAAACATTGTCAGTCGTGCTGAGGTACGAGGTGCCCGAAAGTTGAACAAACAATAACAGTTGCATAGAAGGCATTGCCAGACCCAGTCATTTGGGCCAAGTTCGATGAACTTAATTAAAATATCTCATTGTCAGGTTAGTTAAATTTCCGTTTAAGTTGATAATTTAAGAATTTGTCGCCTTTAATTGACATAAGAAAAATACATTGATGAACAAATGTGCCTTAAATATCAATTGGCGTCTGCAGGCAATTGAAATTCAATGCAAAGATTTTGATTTAAAGGGCAAGTAAGCTAAGGTCAAACGAGTGTTTCTGATTTATATATAATTATATTTATATTGAGTTTTTACCGCCCCATAACAAAATCAAAAAAAATATGCAATTTAAGCTACTGGTTGAAACTTTTCCCTTTTGCCTGGTCCAAGTTTTGCTCAGCAATTTCCCAAATGACCTCACAAAATGTTTGCCCGAGAGCTACGAGAGCTGTGGATGTGTCAGTGTGCGTGCTAAAAACTCTTGACCCCAAGCCACTCTCGACAAAATGCTCGAATTGATTTCGCTAATTTGCTGTGTGAACTTTTGCGGCACAGCCATTTAATGCATTTAAATATAGATTTAGTAGCCAAAGAAGCTAACCACATGATATTTCAGCCATATAATTGGCCATATTTCACAAGCAAAGCGGACCAACAAAAACAATTGGGAATATAACTTTGTAAGCAAAGATATCTGTTTCGTGGCATCCCCAAAAGACTGTAAGCACAGATGTGTTGGCAGGGTCATTATACATATACAGAATGCTCCCGACAGCGTATTTACTTAGCATACTTTCAGGCGAGGCTGCACATGAGCTCACCAATTGAAACGAGGCGTGTGTAGCAATCCCTACAATTTATATTAGTCGTCCACTTATCTTTCTGACAGTGGGAAAACACCAAGTTTAAGGACTCTACGATTTAAGAAATGGTTTAGCTTGTGCTAAGGCTTGATGTGCAACATGTTGCAAAGAATTGGCCAAATTACCATCAGTTTGTTGGCACAGCTGAAATTTTCCCATTATTTTGCTGCTCGCCAGCAACAAAAGCAACACTCACAGAAATTTAACATTTAGTTCACAGCGGATGTTTGGCGCGTGTGGTTTAAAAAGCGCACAAATAATTTATGTATGTTGCTTAACAAATGAATAAATTAATAAAATCAACGTGACGAAAATTAACTTATGATAACAAGGTGGTGTTGCCTAATAGAAAAATGTAATGAAAACAAACACAGAAATAATTAATATTATTTGTTCCTTATTAAGAGAAACACGCTCACATAATAAATAGAGGTTTAAGTTGGTGAAATCGTCATTAAAAATTTAATTATTCAATAATTTAACGGAAAAAAGGTTTTATGCTTAGATGCATCATCTTCATCCAATGTTATCCTTAATATTTAATAGAACAGAAACAAGAAATACAGGTGCTAAGTAAGCTCAGTTCTCAACCGATCGGTAGTCTTTAAATATGCACTTACAGTCACGCACAAAAATAATGAGCTCTTAAATAAATAATATTACATATGGTTCTGGCCAACAGTCCCTGTAAGTATGCAGCTAACGATTATTTCATGTTTCACGTATTATAGCAAATACTCATACGCCTCGTGAATTTGTAAATATAATCGAAAATTGTATAAGGCATGCAGATGGCAATAATCTATTAAACATTAAGTACTTGAATGCCGCAAAAAGGATAATGAAACGTGCATGATGCAAATATTAATCTGTTTGTAATAAAATTATATCCAGTTATTGTTACCGCTAAGGACGATTATGACAAACTAAGCACATTATCATGTAATTAATATCAACAGAACTGAAGTTACATATTTTATGAAATCGAATATATTTTCAAGCGCATATAAATAAATTGTTTAGGAAAAGGAGATGTTGACTTAAAAAGAAAAAAAAGTGAGGTGGCGTACTCTTGACAGAATTTAAATTCAGTTGTTTTTATTGCCGAAAAAATCGTGATTTAATTAAAAATCGAAATCGAAAGAAAAACTTAAGTCAATCGAGTGCCATGTTAAACCTGTCATATATCATTCGTACTTCATATTTCTTAAAGAGAAAAATTGCTTTGTAATTTAATATTTGTAGAGAAACAGTCATAATTAATATTATTTCCGAATTTTTCAAAATGACTTATAATATTGATGAACAGACAGTTGTTCAGTATTTACGCGAAACCCTGGCACCAGTTCCATTTGACGATCTGGTGACAGAGTTTAGCGGTGCGCAACCCGATGAAGCAACTCGCAAGCAAACCAAAGCTCAGCTGCAAAAAGTCCTTATTAAATCGATCAACTTTGGGCTAATAATGCATTGCAACAATCACTTCTACGCAGCAACGCATGCCGAAGATCTCCAAGAAATGCTTGAAAATGAATCAGACAGTGGTTGGTCGTCCGACCATAGCATAATTTCCTTTTCAAGTTGCGAGTCTTCTACCAACAAGCCTTTACCAGTTGAAGATATGGACGCAGTGGAGACCGACGAAAGAAGCTCATCTAGCAGCGTAGAACTAGTAGATAAAGGTTTGGCCGAAAAGGGCAAGAAGGACTGAAAATCAGGGGAATGGCAAGTTTTTCGGTCACAAAAAGTTATAAATATTTCAAAACAACAAAAAACATCCTTAGCTCATTAATAAATCGAAATCTTGCGGCTTTTTTGTTTGAACGACTGTTCGTGATAAATCTAATACAACGGGGCTGATCCTAAAAATATGTATATAAATTGACGTGGCATAAAGTTATGTAAACAATTTTTTTATTTAATATTCTAAAGAAAATGTCTGGCTAATTACAACGCAAAAGTTAACTGTAAAAATGTTGTGTATTATCTTTACTAACAATAATGTTACCATTGTTCCTGTTTTTCAGATATAAAGCATATAGACATACTTTTGAACGAGCTCTTCAGCTTAGGAAATATATACAAAATAACTTTTAATGTCTTCGAGTTGAAACCGTTACAATTATCAAACAAGTTCTTCAGCTTAAGGGGTACAGTAGAAGCAACTGTTTAAAAGTCTTTCAATTCGACGACTTCAGTATATTCTATTTTATATAGTGATTGGTAAACCGCCACAATTTTTGGGCGAGTTCAGCTTGAGTAAAATAAAAATAACTATCGTTTCCTTTGCGCTGGACTACGTCTCTCCCATTGGTTAAGAAAAAGCCGTCACAATTTTTGAACGAGTTCTTCAGCTTGTAGAGTTAAATAAAAATAACTGTATTGTTTCCATTGCGCTGGACTATGTCTCCCGTTGGTTAAGAAAAAGCCGTCACAATTTTTGAACGAGTTCTTCAGCTTAGCAGTTAATTAAATATAACTTCTTTCAATGCCTTTGGGTAGCAATTTCTACTTTTTCAAACGAGCTCTTCAGCTTAAGGAGCTAAGTGGAAGCAACTGTTTGAATGTCTTTGAATTAAATTGTTTCGATTTCAATATTGATGAATGTATTGGGGTAGGCTTATGCATTAAAATCGCTCTCAGCTTTAATGATAAATATTATCATAAAATATTTCTTTCACATTCGTTCAGTTTTTTCACGTCAATGTAGCCACACGTCAAGCTACTTAGTCTTGTCAGTAACGCACCTTTGTTAAAATTGAAAATAATATTTTGCCTCCAGTTTTTAAGTGTAAAGACTTGCCTTTAAATAAATTATTAAAGGCTATTGAAAGGCTATACAATATTGTAAGCGTGCTTAATTTATTTTCTATTCCGTTTTTCAAATATCCCTTTCGTTTAAAAAATATAAATATAGGCCTTTGATTGCAACATACAATATGTAATTATTTTTATTTTAGGAAACTTCTTTAAGGAAAAATTATTCTTAATGCAAATATTTGCTTAAAAAATTTAAAAATTGTGTTAATTTTAAAAAGGCCATAACGTGTAGGGCGCGGCGTAAAAGTAATGTGGAACGGTTGTACGCTATGTTGATTTGATGACGAGTCATTCAATCATAATAAATGCTGCCCATTTTCACAGTCTAACTATTTATTCTTTGCAGCGCACGTAACTCGTGGACGTGATGATAACATTACGAGGCATGGCCCTCGATTCGTACGGTCTGTCACCTGTTTGGGGTGTGTCCGTGCGTTAATCAAACACACAGCAATCCATTTGTAAACCAGACACAGTCGTGCAGCACACACATGACCGCGTCACGAGCGGCCACCAGAACGTGACATATGGCAATGTACTTTTATGCCAGTAAGATATCAGCCATAGCCTGCGGCACGCGTTGCAAGCAAACCGTGCTGCAAAAGTCGCGCGGTCAACGGGATCGCGATAGAAACATATATCGGCAGCTCAGTAGATGCCATCAGCAAAGCTCAGATAGCGAGGCAGGTACTGACGAAGCCAGCTGCGAGCCTGAAGCTGAGAAACTACCTCAACGTGCAAATGTTAATATTTTTTCCCTCGATGCCAGCGAATTGAATGCAAAAGAACCACCCTTCAGCCTGGAGCTGGGATTTGAACAGGAAAACAAGGGCACGGGACCTCGGCGTCGGCACAATTCGAATCAGTTGAATGGACGCGATTTGGAATTGGGTATTCAGCAGTTTGAGGTACGACTATTACACATTCAAATATTTGAAACATATGAATATATTTGTTAAATTTTACAGCTTAGCACCGCAAAATCCACAGCGACGGGCGCTGGCAATGATATATTTCAATATGCTGTGCCCAACAATCCGCTTAGGCACCACCAATGTGATATCAGTTCTGAGGCATTTTTTGTTTTCTTTTTAAATTTTGAATAGTTTGTTTTGAAATCCAAAATAAAGAACCCCTGGCTTTTAGAATTTGCATGTCATCTGACAAATAAATTAACTCGATAAAATCCAAAATATTTAGATATGTCTAAAAATCATATACTCAATGTATATACAATGTGTTTTCACACTTATCGTCATTTTTTAGCAAATTTAATTTTTCATTAGGATATCTCACGATTTTTCCGGTTAAATAGTTAAACAGTCCAAGCATACTCTTATCTGTTTATATTAAGAGACAATTGAGTTTTGTATTCATTAAAACAGATACGTTACTTATGTTGTTTTCTGTTTGTTTTTAAACATTCATTGTATTTGTAATTTTTATTATATATTTTTAGGATACCTCGCCTATCTGTTTGCAGAACTCTGTTTTGGGCTCAGGTGGCCTTATGTACAAAAATGGTAGAATAGCTTCTGGACCGCTGGACGCATTTACTGAGGTGCTCATACCAAAGCATGTCAATGATTTAAATAAGGTAATCAGTAAACAAACATATGCATGCATTAAATAAAGTTTATAAATTCATGAAATAGAGAGAACGGTGCATTTTTAATGGAACCAAAAGGCTTACACTGGTTGCGTTGTAAAAATTTTACACATAATTGAAATAAACAATTAATGCGCTTTAGTAAACAAATTATTTAGTTCCATGTACTCGAAAATTCAGCGATTCACCCCCCCAAAGTGTTTGATATAATAGCTCTGTGTATACACAAATGGCAAAACAAAAATGAAATAGAATAGAATCTGTAGGCAACATATTCCATTGCTGAATTAACAATCCATAAAACTATTTTTTGCTCAATAAATATTTTTTCGGTTTAAAGTATGTTTTTTATTTGCCATATATACATATATATATAGCTTAGGAATATACTTGCTTGAAAGTATATCAACACATATATCAAATGAAATATTTGGCTTACGTTTCTGGGAAGTTGCCTAGACAATTAAGATTGTTGGCCGAGGCTTTATAAAGAATCCAGAAGCCTGCCTCATTATGCAGTCTACGGCAGCAAAATAAGCAAATCAATGTATAATAGAACAACTGAATAGTTAGGCAGAGACAACTCTGAATAACCGAATTATGTATGCAGCCACAATAATAATTTATTCATTGCAAACAAGTTCTGCAGCTAGCGCTTATTTGATAGACAACTGACACATCCTAACAAAAGAAACTAATTGAATCCAGCTCTGTCTACGTATGTTTAAAAAAAAACTGAAAAGATTTGCTATCTCTGGCACTAATCTGTGGTTATATTTATACTCTATTTGTCTCCCACATGCAGGAGTTTCTGTTCTCATTCTTATTATCATCACGTTTGTTTCTGCGTCCACATGAGCTGCATGGGAAACTGCTGGACTCAGTACCTGGTAGTGAACGTTTGGAGACATTAGTTGCCCTCCTGGCTGAGTGGACGAAGATATTTCCATACTATTATTGTGACGAGCGCATGATGAATCATATAAAACATATCGTTGCTGGGTGAGTGATTTTTCAACCTAAATGAAAGCTGCTTCTAATGGATTTCGCCCTTTTTGTGGATTTGCCAATTCACATTTAGAAACCATAGTCTCCCAAGTACTAAGTGCCTTACTTAACCGACTGACTGAGTTGGAGCAACATGAGGCCGATCTGCGCGCCTGCCAGACCAATACCACCGACATGGTAGGCTATACCCAATACCCTATCCAATCACAATTAAACCATTTATCTCTACGCATTAGCTTATTGCCAACCCAAACTGCCCAACAGCCACTCAATATGAACAAATATTATGTCGGCTGGAAAAGAAATTGGCCAAGAACGTCGGACCAGAGGAGTTTCTGCAGTGCAGCAGCTTGGTGCTCTTCGATGAGCAGGTAACTCTTTGATTATATCTAAAATCGATCGAACTTTTTTGTTAACATCGTGCTATCCCTCAGTAAGCCTCTTCTCAAAGTGTTTTCTACTCATTTACTTGTATTAAGTTGTATAATATACACTTGGATATATATTTATTTATTTGTTTATTAAGCAGTGCTTGTAGCTCTCAGGGTATCTTAAATTAAATAATATTAGCTTAAATAACTATAACTAAATAGAAAAATCAAATTAACACAAAATAAAGTAAATTTATTAGTTTTAATCAAACCACTATTGGCAAAAATGCATCCAGGCAGTTGTGATATATGTTCTGAAGCAATAAGAAAAGTCTCTTTGCTGTTCTAGTTTGAGACAGCATCAAAACAAAGTGACTGTTCTTTGTTTAAATCTCAAATAATATATCGTTATTTATGTCACAGATTAATTGACACAAGCTTTCAACATTAATAACCAACAGCTGGATTGCATGCAACGACATGCCGAAAGACTTGCACACTTATGACAAAAGCAGGCAAGCGTCTTGGATGACCAAGAAGTTCAAAGTCGAACGAGAACAACGAGTGAGGCATTCTTATCATTAGCAGCTAGAAACTTAGCTGGTGATGTAACGAAAACATCCTCTTCATGTGTGACACAAGTCAATTCGGACGAGTCCCTGCCGGTTTGTGCCAATAGAATCCCAGACAGTTCTAATATGAATACAACGGTCACGTCAATGAAAGAGCAACCGCCAGTGGTTACTGTGAGTGGCAGCAGCAATGAAATCTCAACTACAACAACATCAACCGATAGTGGAAAGCCAGATGATTGGGTTGTTATTCCAGTGTTTGCGGATATTGTGAAACTGGCACTGGCCGAACGTGTAAACGGTTTGCAGCGGTAAGTTCTCATTTAATTCACTTTGGTTGCTGTCCATATGGCGTATGCGTAATATTGCTCATACTTTATAACGAATATAAACCAAAAACTCTCGCCTTTCAAATTGGCTTGCTTTGATTGAATTGACCACAGCCGGGTACTTCAGCTTACAAATAAGTCAACAAGCAATAAAAATAAAATACAAATATGGAAATTTATATAATAAATATAATTTCATATTTACGAATTTCATATGATTTTTCTGATTTTAATAGAGCAAATATTTATTGAGTGTGATATAAATATTGAAGAGCACTCAACTGTGTGAAAAGTGGAAATAAAAAAATTTAATTTAATATTAAAAAAATCAAAAATTATATGATAAGTAAATTAAGTCACCCAAATTGTCAATATGTTTTAAGGGCGACTGGTTTATAGGAATTGTGTGCTCTTTATAACTGGTTTATTGCTTTCAGCTAACCAAATGGCCATATCAATATAAACACCTTCAATTGGATGGGGGCGATTGTAGGAGCCTTTACGAGCGACATGCATTCGATTAAATCTGTGCGGCGTCATCTAGCGGCGAGTACGCGCAAAATCGGTGAAACGGGTAAGAAAAATTATTTATGCGAGAGCGTACGATTGGTATACGCGATACATGAAGTTAAGACCATATACTTGTCTTGGTCTGGGGATCTGAAACTAGGAATATATGCATATTGTTACGTCCTTCTGTCTTATTAATTACGTCGACATTAAAGACTATATCTCTTAACTCTAGGAATGTAAGAATTGTCGTAAAGTGAGTTCGATATAGCCCCATTCAAGCTAATTTTAAGTTTATACCATATCTCCGGCTTTAAATTCTTTATTCTAGTTTTAAAGCACTTTTTTATGCTATTTATTGTCGCGTATAATTCTATTCATTGCTATTATTAGGTATAATCCTTCGAGCCGGAATCTCATTATTGCCTAGCTTTCTTAGCAGCCCACTTGTACGTTGTTCAAGCGACCTGAATTAGAACTTGTAGACGGGTGAGCCCACGAATTTCGCTCGTATTTTCCCATTGCCAATGGATTTGAAGTCATCGCAGCAATTGTATGTGTTCCAATGCTTGTACGGCACAATCCTGAGTCCGTCCATGTAGCTATGCGCGTAGCTCTGCAGGCGATTTAGGAAAAGTTTGAAGGTGCCGTAGGTAAGTTGTCTGAATCGCGGACATCGAATATCGTGGTGATGTGGCACGCCCTGACAGTAGGCCCAAAACCGTTCGACGTCTTTAATCTGGCTATACTTGCTCACAATTACATTATCGCTGCAGTCCGGATTCTCCTTGTAGGCACAAGCCGCCTCCCCAAATAGACAGGCTTGCCACAACATAGCTCTCACTATATTGTTTGAGCCCACTTTGCGGATCTGTTCGTTTTCCGGCTGATAGGCAATAGAGCGCTGCAGCCAGGGCGACAGCATGCGAAAGCGCAACGTAGCCATGACTTGAACAAGATACTGCTCTCGGTTCTGCCAGTCATGCTCGAGCCAGCGGATAGCGGCAAAGAACATTTCGTCTTCGCTGTTGACGCATATCATATCCATTTTGAGCAAATAGATCACCTCGTTGGCACTGAGATTGAGAAACTCGAAAGAGCTGACTAGTGGGAGGAAGGACTTGCGTATGCGGGCTAAAAATATGGACATCAAATCGCCGCATTGAAGTTGACGTGACGGCAAATATGCATGGAATGCCTCCGCCTCCCAAATTCCCATATTGCCAGGAATCGAAAACGCATACCAGTACTGCTCCAGCAGATAGCGCACGTCCAGGAATTTGGCCATCATATACATGAGCAGAAAGTTACTGCCCAGTGCCAGCTCATTGTGGTCCTTAATGATCCAGTTGTACAGTCTCACCATCAGATTTATTGAGACCTTGTGGCTGGGAAGCTCAAGAAAGCAATTGCTGAAGTCGTGAAAAGCTTTCATGTAATGGCAGAATATATACCGATCGACATGCATAAACTCGCTTCCGACTTTCAATTCCAAATTGTCAAACCAAAAGTTGCGGACGGCAATGATGAGTAGCTCTGTGGGTTCTATAAGTCGATGTAATAACGGTGTAGGAGTGAGCATAGGTCTCCTTATGTGAATAGCTCACCTAAGCGCCGGTCCTCCACGCTGGACATGTGTTTGGCTATGGAAATCCTTGGGCTAAATTTCACTGGCTGCCAGATCGTCTCAAAGTCATGCACCGTAATGTTTTGCATCATCCCAATCGCTTGCGCCAGTTCCACCGTCTCCTGTTGATATGGCACCAGCTCCCGGGTCTTGGCATGCATTTGCGCAGCTTTGGAATGCAGCTTTGACCAGTTGAGAAATGGATTACTTGGAAAGTACTTATTATGCAAGCCCATTCGTGGAGCATGTGGTTCCTTCGCTGTTTGTTCCTCCTGTGATGTCTCACTACTACTTTGCAGTACTAGCAAATGCGGTTTCATTGAAGGGGATGTTTTTCTATTCATAATATTTCTGCTGTCTCTCCTCATGCTCAGGTTCCAGACTGATTGGTCTGGGGTTGCCCCATTTTCGATGAACTGCTTATGCATCCAGTGCGGCAAAAATAACGTATCATAGTCGTGCCCAGGATTCATCATCCTCGCATCCTCGCATTGACGAACGTCTGAGATGATGCGCGGGAAACTCACATGCATCTCTTGCTTCCGTGGCATGGTGAAGGACGGCTTATTTTTTTGAGCCATTTTAGAAATTTTTGTGCGTTTTAAATTTAAATCACAACGTACGCAGAAAATATTATTTGTGCTTTTCAAGTAGTTCTTAGTCTCAGTTGAACCAATTAAGCGTTATGGGATTGGAATAAATTTATTTCAAAGCCATCTTAACTCTGAAAATAACAAATTCTGTAATATGAGAGAGGTTATTAAATTTGTCTGTTTTGAAACTGAAGAGAACAGGAAATTACAAGCCAACGGTAATTCATCGGCTCTTGTTGTGATTCTGATTGTCAGGTAATCAAAAAGAAGACGTGAATTTAAAAATTATTTTTCGTTTTATATCTCATATTCTCAACTATGTCTCAGTCTGTATATATTTTTGTTGCTCGTCGAAACAGTTACAGAACTTTAAGTTAATGTACCCTCAACCAATTATTTGTTCTAGGAAAATATAAAATTTAACATAATTCCAACAGTTTACAAAAGCTACAGGGACAAGAGGGCAAGGAAATTCTCAAGCAGGCTAAGATAAAGGAGCCACAAGTTTAATATGCATATAAATATGTGCGTGTGTGTATGTCTTTTGCTCATTAGGCACACGCGCAGCTTTGGGGCAATCTTAGCAATAATTGGGAAGCTAGCAAGCGGATGAGCCACTCATTAGTTAAGCATTTTGATAGCGTGTCCTTATTCTCTGAAGTGGCTGTGGCTAACGAAATTGGGCTTTTGGTAATCGAGTCTAACTGTTAACAGCCCAATGCCTTAAATGCTGGTGTGTGCAAGATTTGCAGAACAGGTTGTATATAGCTGTGTACTGCTTTGAAAGCTGTCAACAATGTCCAGACAAGCCGGCTGACAGTCGAGACAGTTGGGCTAAATAGATAAAGCAACTGAAATCGGTGGCCAGTTGGAATCACAACCCCCTATCACGACTCAAGCTTACCCAAACAATATATTGTTATGTTTCCCCATTCTCGTCCCTATTGGTAAGTTGTCTAAAAGAGAAGATAAATGGCACTGACTGTACTTATCTATTACCTGTCTCGGCTGTCGCTTTCCAGTTTGAAATATGATACTAAAACAACATCAATATGCGTTTAAATATGATTGTCTGCCAATTGTTGAGGTATAAACAATTTTATTGAGGAAAAAACAAAGAAAATATACAAACGTTAAATCAAATAAGTATGATTTTAAAGTCGTAAAAGTAAGGATAGATACACAGATAGAGTATAAGACATAAGTAGATATTATTAAATAAAATATTTAATATAAACATAAATACATATATTTTCTTTTCTATTTACAGAATTGATGCTGGCTTCTTTTGCATGCGAGGACTCTAACAATGCTGAAAGGTTGATGTACGACTTGAGTTAAATAAAATTGCATGGTAGTCTTAGTGGACAACTGTTTTTATTATAGATTTGCAGCGTGGCCCTTATCCTTGAAATGTCTAGCATTTTTTATGGTCATCATCGATTCTTTAGGGTGATTTTATATTTAAGTTTTTTTTCAGTTGATTTAAATCGATTTCGTGCGATAGGATAGATAAGTCCTATGTTCCATCTTGAGCATTTAGAAGCTGTAAGATCAAAGCCCCTTGGCTAAATCGACTTGGCTTATGATGTGATCAAGAATTTGTGTACCTTATAGGGTTGGAGAAGTTTCGTTTTGTCTGACATATATGTATATTTGCTATTGCTTATTAAACCTTCTTTGAATCTAATTTTTTTATTTAATGCAAAGCTCTAAGCTAGCTTTAATTCTTTAAATCAACAAAAAAAGTTCATTCATCGGCAGTTAAAAAACAATAACTCTTTTTCTCTTTTACAATAATGAACATTTAAGACCAGCTCCTGGCTGCTGTCAAGAGCTTTGCAATGTCAGCAAATTTTCTTCGCCGGACAAAATTTAAGACCAAAGCAAAGAGCCAAAGGCGTTTTGCTGCAGAGCCAAATATGTTAAAAATGCAGATGGATGCAACGTCCCAAGAACTTGGCCGACTTTTTGTGTGTGCAGGACTGTGCTCTCAGTAAGTGAGCGAAATTACATCCACCAGGCAGAGAATTATGTTGCAAGCGGCAAGTATTTATGCAGCCTAATATGTTTCATCTATTGGTCTCTATATATTTAGAGATGCATGTGTAAATGTTTGCTCAGTTGGCTCGCTGTAGACACAGAATTAAATATTATTTAAAAATTTATTCACAGCAAATGTTTTTGCATAACGCGCAAAGTCATATTATTAGCTCTCAAAATCTATTGAAAATACAATTAAGAACACAAAACAAGCAGTAGGAAACTGAAAAATAAAAATAAGGTTAATCTTCTGTTGAAGCTGAACGAGAAGCGTAACAAGGCAAATAAAAATTTCAATCAAGTGCAGACAATGAATTCAAATAGAATATTGAACAAATAATTGTATCTCTCCTGCGGTTGTTGTGTTATTTTTATGGTCACATTTCTGCATAACAGATCAGACCAGTAGCAGGCAGTTTTCCAATTTTCATTGCATTGCAAATTGCAATTGCAATCATAAAATGAGATTTGATTTTAGTGTCAAATCAACTGTATTTTAACTTCTGTTGTTGTTGAAATATTTGCATTTGGCAGAACAGTAAAATGTTCACAAATTTTCAATGCTGTAGTTACAAAATGTAACAGCACAACTATATTTCGATTTATATAAAGTTTACTAGCGGGCTAACTCCGGCCTTGCCCATAGTACGGTATGCAGCTTTCGAAAAGTGTGAAACACAACACTAAGATATTTTGAAAATCAGATGGGGCCGATTGGATTGTACACAAAAAAGTTTCATACAAACGTTTTTCGTGATTTTTTCACATATGCGGGTGGAATTTCCCGAAACCCCGCCTTAACGAGCACCTTCAGCACAAAAGGTAACTACAGTGAAAATTTGAGTTTCCTAGTTCACAAGGTTTTGGCTGTGCGTTGATCACCAATCAGTCAGTCAGTCAGTCAGGACAAACAGTCTTATATATAGAGATAACTTTATTTTTTCGTCTGTTTATGACAGGAACCCAATTATAATGGTTTCAAAAAAATTTTAATTTACCTACGAATGCTTTGAAAAAGATGTTAAATTGATTTTCAGAATATCACGTGAGCTATAATTCAACAAAAATTATTTTACCACCCCATTAATACAACCTGTCGAAATATTCGCAGTCGTATATCATTTTTATGTATCTACAGTAACCGTAAAATTTTTATTTAATTGCGACCCAAGACCCCAAAAAAAGAAATACGAAAAATGTGCCAGAAAAACAAATCAATTTTTAGCCAAAGGCTTTAGACAAACAAAGCAAGGTAAAATGATTTATTTCAATCGCAGGCCCTATGATTTGTTACTGCAACTTTGACTGCATGATAAAACGGCAGAAAAATCCGTAATATGTATATTTTGAAAGGAACGCAGCTCCACGGCTGCAGCTATACCGGATAAGAGTAAAATAATAAAATATGACATCAAATATACGCCCAGAGTACGTGTCAAATATTGAAATTTGTGTAGGCCTTTACTCATAATGGATATAAAAATTTTATAAATAATTGTAATAAATGTAAAAGGATTATGAATAAGTTTCAAACATTTATAGAACTTTTTTTCTGGAAGTAATGATCAGAACCAGGTGGTCTAAATACATATCGTCCATAACAAAAACAGTCATATTACGAATTTTCATTAATATAGCCTTAAAGCTTAGCTCAGTTTACCAGTAAAGCCAATCCTGTAAATAATAAGAAGATAATTATAATTACCACTCATTCTGACCGTAGTACCTCAGCTAGCGAACCATCCAACTAGTTTGCTCTATTCTGTTCCTGTCTGTGCATAAATCGTGTGTCAAACTTTGTCCTGCCAGTTGTTTCAGCTTGCAGTGGCTTTTACAGCTGCGGTCCTGAGAGGACCTCGGCCACCACCTGATAAATTTTCAGATTTGCATGCTAATGAATAGCGCAAATCCAGAGCGTGCTGAATAACCTTTTTAAATTATTCGTGTGTTTTCTCGAGTAGTTTGCATCAACAATAAGATCAGAGCGGGACAAATCCACAAGGGACGTGAATTGCTTGCCTTGCAAACTATAATGTTTCTTTCGATGATTGCGTAATTTTATTTTGTATTGTTTTCTTTCAAATTTGGTCGATTACGTCTAATGTCTAATGTTCCTAAATTTTAATTTTTCCGCTAATACTTGAACCCGTTGAATATACTATATTCTCTTTATTAGTTTTCTTAAAGTGAAGACAAAATTAATAGATTAACTTGGTATAAACGCTAATTATATAAAAGGTTTAAAAATATATTTTAAAGGTCTTAAAGGTTCTTTTCAACTTTATCAAAAACTTTATCGCTGGTTCGTCTCTTATGTATTCAGCACAGATAGAGTTTAGGCGACAACTACGTTAATTTACTTCCATCACCTAGACATTTAGCATAAATCAGCTCTGACTCTGCCAGTCAGTTGCTCCTTGGTTTACTTTCGTATATACTTGAAAGACATAAATAAAGTTAGGGAATTGCGTTTGTTGCCGGCAATCATTTGAAAGGTAAGCCCATGCAAACCTATTATGATTATTTCGTATTTTTAAATTTTTTTTGGTTTTTTTTTATAATATCCATTTCATATTTCAGCTAAGCATTAAAGCTTACCTGATTCAAAAGACAGACAGGACAACTGCATATTTAAATATTTAATAACTTGAGCAATGCGAATTCTTTTTAATTATTCTGACCTTTTTGACAAGCATTTGGCATAGAAAAAAAAAAAAGGTAAGAGTATATCTTTGCTCGTTTTGCAGCTTATTTAATTTAATCCTTTGTGAATAGCATTCAACGAAAGCAGCGAAAGAAAAATCTCTAAAATGGAACAAGGAAATCTAAATAAAAAGCTGCGTTTAATTAGCGGATAATCGAATTGCGAGCCAACGAGTCAAATCAAATGATTGATTAATCATTGTTCATTTGAGCAGCTGTGTCTAGCATTGAAGAACATTTTAATTGAAACCCGTTGAAAGAAATCGGCCACTCAGCCGAGCCGTAGTTCTTTGCGGCTTTGAGAAATGAATATGCATATCTTGGATTCTTTTTTGAGTGGCAGCTGCAAGATTGTAATGAAATCATAACAAAAATGGAAACTATTCATATGGAAATCAAACTTGGCAACTGATGTTCAATTATTATTCTGGTATGACTTACTCATGAATGAGTTTGTAATAAAACCGAAACAACTTTCAAAGCTACTAATGACGGGCTCAAGGACTAAGACAGTAGAAGATTACTTGCACAAAAAAAAAGAATGAGTCCTTTGGCACGTAGCATATCATTATACAGAAACTTAATTTTCATTGATTTTCCTATAAAAAGGCATACAATAGGAGTACAATATGCCAATTAGTTATTCTTTTTATCGGTTTTTTCCTGCAATATTTTATAGAAACCTGATGATATATATTAACCTGATGTCAGCTATATCGACTGGGTTGTTATTAGGGATCAAGAAATGACATAATTTTTCTGATTTTTAATTTAATATAAATTTACAGACAAATATGTTCAAGTTGTGCACTCGCACGGATGTGTCCCATCAGCATTGCTAAGAACAATTGTTGATATTCATTTTTCAACTGTTTCGCTCAGCTTCATCGTGCTACTTGACCTTTAGCGGCAGTGGGCCGTTTTTTAAATTTTAATTATTGGAAAATCGACTAACATTAGCAAGGAAAATACAATTTTTGAAAAGCGTGGTTGTAGAATGTTTACCTATAGTGTAGCAAAGAATAAAATAAGAGGTAATTTCCAAAACAGTATAAAATATTGTTTGCAATTTTAATTAAAGCAAAATATATGATACTCACTTAAAAAATTGCATAGAATTGATTATCATTTTGTCTCTTATTTTTATTTATATTTTATTTTATTCTGTTGATTTTGTGGTGAATTTGATTGCATTAAAGCCTTTGTATGAGGTGGCAGCTGTCTACTTGACATTGTTTTGTTGTCAATAGAGATTAATTTCCTGCACAAATTTAGTATATTGTTTTAATATTACTCAGCACTATTTTCAATATCCCCATTTTCACCATAATTACTCCAGCATTAAGGTAGGAATTCATATATAATATATAAAAAGTGTATAAAAAACCATGGAAATGGCCATCGCAATAATAAAAGGCTTAACAAAATTCTGCTAAAACCACAGCCCTGGCTTTTCAATTGCAATCATGCGGTCACTTTGCACACGAAATATAAATAAAGCACAAAACCGGACTCATTTGTGGCTTTCAAAATATACTCCTTTTTTTGGGTGGCACCTTAATCAGAATATTCTTTGGACTAGCGCTGCTTTTTTTTGTGCATTTTAATTAAAATATCTGTTAAATATTGTGGTACTCGATAACTAGAGTCTGTGAAATGAAGATCAATAGAATTCAAGTTAGGTTATCGGTGCAGAAGAAATAATACCCTTGTACACGTAAAGCGAATGTGCGGTCAAATGATGTAGTAAACGCAAAATTTACGATTTTACGATAACGCAGCAACTAGTTTAAATGCTGAGTGGCATAAAGAAAATGTCACTTCTTTTACATTTCATGCGTAAGAGTCCCTCAGCATGAGCATAAAAAAGCAATCAGAGCACCAATTAGTAAATATATTTTGATTCACCTTTGAAAAGGTATGCAGATTTTACTTTTATACATTTTTAAGACTTTACATTTACTTTGAAGTTTAAAGTTTCTTTTTTCAGCTCACCAATTTTTTTTATTTGCAATCGTTATCTTTCAATGAGAGCTGCATTGAGCTCTTCCAATTAATAGGTCATTAAATGACCAACATATTGCCATATTATTGATGGGGAGTTACTGTTTTTTATTTTTGACTTATTATGCATCTTGCATTATTGCTCTATGCATTTAAGTGCATTTCGAATAAATGAACTATTGGATGAGTATAGTGGCGCAGACTATTTGCGCTTTCCTTCGAACCTATCATATTTTCAAAACCCAGCAGCAGCAGTTGCAGTAGAATACTGTGGCAGTAGCAAGTAACAAATAATTGACTGTCAGTTATTACAGTTTTTCGGTACATTTTCTTCAAGAAACTTGAAAATTATAGGCAAACCTTTAAGCTAAAAGTCAAGTTTGCATAGAAACACAAAGACGCAAGGATCTTATAAGTTGGTTTGCGTGTTGATACTGATTAAGAGTCAATAACTACTTGAATATAGCCCATTTTTGATTTCTCGGTTAAATTTTTATATAAATTTGGTGTCCCAGAAACTGTTGTTTTTGTTATGCGCTCATAATAGTTTTGCACCTTTCACATAAATTACAATTAAACAGCTCAATAATTCAGCTGGCCAGGCCAATTCTTCCTGTAGTTATTTTTGAACTTAAATATAGCTAGCTAATGGACACAGCTGCTCAAAGAGACAATGATTGATCAATCATTTAATTCGCCGTGGCTGTTTGCTATTTTATTATTCACTAATTACTTATAATGTATCGCTCTGCCATATAAGCAGAACCGACGGCTAAGCGCTGAACTTTAAGATGCAATAACATTGGTATTAAAATAAGGCAGCTAAAATCTTGGACTGTTATGAGTTCGTATAGCATGCTCGAAATCTAAAACCAAAACTGTATGAGATAAGCTTTAATATAAATATTAGCACTTGTCGTGAAGAGCTGAATTATACTGTTAATCATACAATCACTCATACGCAGTGAAAGCGAAAGGTGCTACTGGGAGAACCATTGCCAAAATGCCGCCGAATCTTTCTTTTTGAAATGGAAAACCGTGTCCATTAATATACAAACTTTTGCCACCAGAAAATATGGAAGAAACGGGAAACGCAATGCGGGATAAATCCGGTCGCTCCTTTTAGTTATGCTTCATCTTGAAAAGACTTATTGGTTGTTATTTGTTTTTTTCTTTTTAAACAGATTACTTATTATTTTTGTAGGGAATGAGACGACGTGTATAAAAGCCGGTTTACTGTCTATTTCCAAAACAAATCTAAAGGATTGAATAAAATATATATACAAAAATTGTGGAAATCTTTGTGTATATGAAATATATATGCATAATTGTAGAGTAATCTTTTAGTAAAGACTGCAGGAGAATTGGATTTTTACAGCTTTTTAGCCACTTGTTTGCCAAGTCAAATGTTCTATCATTCCCCTTCGCACTTCTGGGTGCATTCATTTCAATTTCACTGGAGGTGCAGTCAAACGTTTTGCGAGGCAACCCTTAACTGTAGCCAAGTTAAACTGTGCCTAACCAAGCGGTGATCTGGCGGCGCGCAGTTGAGGAAGTAAGGGGAGCATTATATAATTGGCTGATTGTTTAAGGAGTTGGCAGTGGAAATGGGTCAGTTGTTTGCCCCATTGTGTTAATGCTGCGGGTTAACTTTCTTTTGTGTTGTCAACGCAAAAGTTTTGAAGCGCAAAGTCAATTTAATGGCCATTTTGTAAGTGTATGCAGACAACTTTTTGTATCTGCTAATGTCTTGTCAGGCCAATTCCGCTAAACGTCGCAAGAGGCAGCCTCGATAGGAAACATTCCTTGGCTTTTCGACTTTTTTGCGCTGTTGTTTCTTTGAAGTTTTTCAAATCTGTTAAATTAAATTAAAATTAAATTAAATTAAGTAAAATTTAATTTTTGTAATTTATTAAATGCTTACAGGAACTGCAGAATAGAGATAATATTGCACGAGACTTTTAGTATCCTTTTCTTTCGGGCATAAGATCCACTTAGAACATTCATTGGCTCCAATCGCCTGAGCGCCATTTGGGTAAAAATGTTTAAGACACACACAGTACACAGCCTTGTGGTGCCCTGCAAACATATTATTTGTGTTATGCACGACTGACAATACAATCCACATACAGGGACCTTCAGCTAACAAACAATAAAAGTAAATATAAAAATAAAAAGAAGCAATGTTCATACACTGACCCCTGATAACTATGTGCTCTCTTCAACGTTTGGCCTATTACAGGATTTCTACAACTTATTCTGGGCTGCTAAAATGATTGAACATTAGAAAGGCTTCAGAAGTAATTGAACAAAAAATAAATCCCTTATTAAACTCACATTTCTTCTATTGTTTATAGCATAGCATCAGCGTTTTAAGCTCCATTAGTTAAATTTTCTCGATGAACAAAATCGATATCCGCGGGCTCTTTCATACATTCGTTTCGCAGCATAGCTACTTTTGATTTTTTTGCTACTTATCAGTCTCCACGATTTTCATCCAAATTACATAGTTTAATTAAAAGTTAAATGGTAACTGACGTCTTTATAAGTTTACCTCCCATTTTTAAATCAACAGATAATTTGTGTAGTAGAATAAAGCAAAAAAAAAAAACGCGGAAGAGAAAACAACCCAAACAAAAGGTTGAACATTTTCTATTGTGTATCAAAATGTTTGACATTTTTGTCCCATGAATGTTGGTCCGACACGTGTTTGATATTATTCAACATTTTTGTGGGCTCTACTTTCGATTATTTATTTTAAGCACGTACAATGGCGCTCAATAACCGCAGATGGGTTCCATTCAGACATGGTGTAAATAAAAAATTTGAATACAATTAATATTTATGAACTTGCAAAGTAAAAAATTTGAATTGTGAAATTTGCTAGAAAATGTCGTTTGCTTTAGCACTTTAATTAATGCTGGGTTATTACCTTTTAGTAATTCAATTAGCTTCTCTTAAAAATCGGATTGAAAAACATATATTAATATTTTATTTAAATTAAGTATTAAGGTTTCCAAAAGCAAATAAATATGAAATCATTGGATCGTAGTTTTATACATTGATGTTTTTTCTTTTCTAGTCTGACATGTAAAACATGCTTATCAACTGTCAAGCGAAAATACAAGGGTATTGAAAATAAGTTTTCGTCATCAGCACAACTCGAAAATTTTTTAAGAAAAATAAAAATGTCATCGTATACTCATTGCCTGGATGTTAATAAATATACATATATTTTACGTTAATTACAAGAATTTTTTTTATATAATAATTGTATGTATATATATAATATAAACAACGCCTTGCATTTTCATTTAATTTTGAAAAATTTGAAACTGATGGTATTGATCCTTACGAGTCCAAAATGGTATAAAATTCCAAAATCGGTCATTATTCGGCCAAGATATTCCACAAATCATCAAAAAAGGTATACTTAACAAATGAATCGGTTTTTGGTCAACCACTTTTTTTAACCCATCGATTTTAAAAATGTTTGAATGCCAATTGATCGTAGGGATCCGTACGAATTCAAAAATGTATAACGTTTCAATATCAGACAGTAATTACCCGAGATATTCAATAAAAATCATCAAAAAAGTTTCGATTTTCGAACCGACCCCGAATTTGAGAAAAAACGTGATGTAACAAATTGCCATTTTGTAGATTTGGGTCAAAATTTAGATTTTGAACTTTTTGATGCCAATCGATACTACTGATCCTTACGACACCAAAATGGTATAAAATTCCCAAATCGGACAATATTTGTCCGAGATATTCCAAAAAATCATCAAAAAAGGTTGACTTTACAAACGAATCGGTTTTTGGTCAACCACATTTTTTAACCCATCGATTTTTAAAATGTTTGAGTGCCAATTGATAGTAGGGATCCGTACGAATTCCAAAAGGCATAACATTTCAATATCAGGCAGTATTTACCCGAGATATTCAAAAAAATCATCAAAAAAGTTTCGATTTTCGAACCGACCCCGAATTTGAGAAAAAACGTGATGTAACCCCTTGCCATTTTGTTGATTTTGGTCAAAATTTAGATTTCCATTTTTTTGATGCCAATCGATAGTACTGATCCTTACGAGTCTAAAATGGTATACAATTCCCAAACCGGACATTATTTGTCCAAGGTATTCAAAAAATCATAAAAAAAAGGCTGACTTTACAAACGAATCGGTTTTTGGTAAACCACTTTTTTTAACACATCGATTTTTGAAATGTTTGAATGTCAATTGATAGTAGGGATCCGTACGAATTCAAAAATGTATAACATTTCAATATCAGACAGTATTTACCCGAGATATTCAATAAAAATCAGTCTAAAATGGTTTAAAATTCCCAAATCGGACATAATTTGGCCGAGATATTCCAAAATATCATCAAAAAAGGTATACTTTACAAATGAATCGGTTTTTGGTCAACCACTTTTTTTAACCCATCGATTTTAAAAATGTTCGAATACCAATTGATCGTAGGGATCCTAACGAATTCAAAAATGTATAACGTTTCAATATCAGACAGTAATTACCCGAGATATTCAATAAAAATCATCAAAAAAGTTTCGATTTTCGAACCGACCCCGAATTTGAGAAAAAACATGATGTAACCCCTTGCAATTTTGCTGATTTGGGTCAAAATTTAGATTTCCAACTTTTTGATGCCAATCGAGAGTACTGATCCTTACGAGTCTAAAATTGTATACAATTCCCAAACCGGACATTATTTGGCCAAGATATTCAAAAAAATCATCAAAAAAAGGTTGACTTTACAAACGAATCGGTTTTTGGTCAACCACTTTTTTAACCAATCGATTTTAAAAATGTTTGAATGCCCATTCAAAAAGGCATAACATTTCAATATCAGACAGTATTTACCCGAGATATTCCAAAAAATCATCAAAAAAGGTTGACTTTACAAACCAATCGGTTTTTGGTCAACCACATTTTTTAACCCATCGATTTTTAAAATGTTTGAGTGCCAATTGATAGTAGGTATCCGTACGAATTCCAAAAGGCATAACATTTCAATATCAGACAGTATTTACCCGAGATATTCAAAAAAAAATCATCAGAAAAGTTACGATTTTCGAACCGACCCCGAATTTGAGAAAAAACATGATGTAACCCCTTGCAATTTTGTTGATTTGGGTCAAAATTTAGATTTCCAACTTTTTGATGCCAATCGAGAGTACTGATCCTTACGAGTCTAAAATTGTATACAATTCCCAAACCGGACATTATTTGGCCAAGATATTCAAAAAAATCATCAAAAAAAGGTTGACTTTACAAACGAATCGGTTTTTGGTCAACCACTTTTTTTAACCAATCGATTTTAAAAATGTTTGAATGCCCATTGATAGTAGGGATCCGTTCGAATTCAAAAAGGCATAACATTTCAATATCAGACAGTATTCACCCGAGATATTCCAAAAAATCATCAAAAAAGGTTGACTTTACAAACCAATCGGTTTTTGGTCAACCACATTTTTTAACCCACCGATTTTCGAAATGTTTGAATGCATAAAATTTCAATATCAGACAGTATTTACCCGAGATGATAAAAAAAAATCATCAAAAAAGTTTCGATTTTCGAACCGACCCCGAATTTTAGGAAAAACGTGACCCCTTGCCATTTTGATGATTTTGGTCAAAAAATAGATTTTCAACTTTTTGAATCCAATCGATAGTAGTGATCCTTACGAGTCTAAAATGGTATACAATTCCCAAACCGGACATTATTTGGCCAAGATATTCAAAAAATCATTAAAAAAAATGCATTACTTTACAAACGAATTGGTTTTTGGTCAACCACTTTTTTTAACCCATCGATTTTAAAAATTTTTGAATGCCAATTGATAGTAGGGATCCGTACGAATTCAAAAAGGCATAACATTTCAATATCAGACAGTATTTACCCGAGATATTCAATAAAAATCATCAAAAACGTTTCGATTTTCGAACCGACCCCGAATTTGAGAAAAAACGTGATGTGACCCCTTGCCATTTTGATGATTTTTGTCAAAATTTAGATTTTCATTTATTTGATTCCAATCGATAGTACTGATCCTTACGACACCAAAATGGTTTAAAATTCCCAAATCGGAGATTATTTGTCCGATATATTCAAAAAATGATCAAAAAAGGTTGACTTTACAAACCAATCGGTTTTTGGACAACCACATTTTTTAACCCACCGATTGTTGAAATGTTTGAATGCATAAAATTTCAATATCAGACAGTATTTACCCGAAATATTCAAAAAAAAGCATCAAAAAATGGTATACTTTACAAACGAATCGGTTTTTGGTCAACCACTTTTTTTAACCCATCGATTTTAAAAATGTTTGAATGCCAATTGATAGTAGGGATCCGTACGAATTCAAAAAGGCATAACATTTCAATATCAGACAGTATTTACCCGAGATATTCAATAAAAGTTATCAAAAACGTTTCGATTTTCGAACCGACCCCGAATTTGAGAAAAAACGTGATGCAACCCCTTGCCATTTTGATGATTTTTGTCAAAATTTAGATTCTTATTTTCTTGATGCCAATCGATAGTACTGATCCTTACGACACCAAAATGGTATAAAATTCCTAAATCGGACATTATTTGTCCGAGATATTCAAAAAAATCATCAAAAAAGGTTGACTTTACAAACGAATCGGTTTTTGGTCAACCACTTTTTTTAACCCATCGATTTTAAAAATGTTTGAATGCCAATTGATAGTAGGGATCCGTACGAATTCAAAAAGGTATAACATTTCAATATCAGACAGTATTTACCCGAGATATTCAATAAAAAACATCAAAAAAGTTTCGAGTTTCGAACCGACCCCGAATTTGAGAAAAAACGTGATGTAACCCCTTGCCATTTTTCTGATTTTGGTCAAAATTTAGATTTTCATTTATTTGATGCCAATCGATAGTACTGATCCTTACGACACCAAAATAGTATTAAATTCCCAAATCGGACATTATTTGTCCGAGATATTCAAAAAAATCATCAAAAAAGGTTGACTTTACAAACGAATCGGTTTTTGGTCAACCACTTTCTTTAACCCATCGATTTTTAAAATGTTTGAATGCCAATTGATAGTAGGGATCCGTACGAATTCAAAAAGGCATAACATTTCAATATCAGACAGTATTTACCCGAGATATTCAAATAAAATCATCAAAAACGTTTCGATTTTCGAACCGACCCCGAATTTGAGAAAAAACGTGATGTAACCCCTTGCCATTTTGATGATTTTTGTCAAAATTTAGATTCTTATTTTCTTGATGCCAATCGATAGTACTGATCCTTACGACACCAAAATGGTATAAAATTCCCAAATCGGACATTATTTGTCCGAGATATTCCAAAAAATCATCAAAAAAGGTTGACTTTACAAACGAATCGGTTTTTGGTCAACCACTTTTTTTAACCCATCGATTTTAAAAATGTTTGAATGCCAATTGATAGTAGGGATCCGTACGAATTCAAAAAGGCATAACATTTCAATATCAGACAGTATTTACCCGAGATATTCAATAAAAATCATCAAAAACGTTTCGATTTTCGAACCGACCCCGAATTTGAGAA